TTCCGCGCCATCCAACGTCACTTCCGTGTCGTCTGCATATTGGCAGGCGGTGACGGGGTTTGGGTCGGACGGTTGCAGCTTAATTCCCACCTCCTGGCTCCGGAGCCAGCATTGGAGAGCTTGGGCGACGAAGAGGTACAGCAGAGGCGCCAGGGGGCAGCCCTGTCGGACACCAGCCTCCATGTCTACCAGCCTGGACTTGTACCCGTTGACCATCGCCCGGGCTCGGGTTTCACTCAGTAGCAAACATACCCACGCACACAGCTGTGGCCCTGCCCCCATCGCCTCCATGGCCGCTAGGAGAAAGCCGCGATCCACTGTATCGTATGCTTTGGCAAAGTCCAGGAATGCCAAAAGCCCTTGGCGGTTCTGCTTGCGGAGGAGGTGTGACAGGTGGCGCAGGAAGAGTACGCTGGCCCCAATCAGGCGCTTGGGGAGGAAGGCGGATTGCTCGGGGGTGATGACCCGTCCCAGGGCGGGGCCCAGGCGGTTCGCCAGTACCTTAGCAAGGAGCCGGTAGTCCGAGCATAACAACGTGATGGGGCGGTAGTTGCCGGGGAGCTTGGGGTCGCCTTTTTTATAGAGCACTGTGATGATCCCTTCAAGGAAGCCTGCGGGCACCTGCCCGGTCATGCCAATGGCAGTGAACAGGCCTGCCATGGTATTACCTAAGGCTGACCAGAATTTCCTGTAGATGTCGGCCGGGATCCCATCCCACCCTGGGGCCTTGCCAGGTGCGCTCTTCTTGAGTGCCTTCTGCAGTTCGGTGGCTGTGATCTTTTTGGCTCCAAGCTGTTCATCTGTCTCTGCCAGGAGCTTAATGTTGGCTGCGGTGAGGGAGTTCAGTACGGCTTGGCGGGCCTGGGGGCAGATCACTCGGGGAATGACTTGGTCATGGACGGGTTTTCCAGTCATGGATTCGGTCATGTATGTGGTCATGGATCCGGTCATAGTTTGTCATTAAGTCATGGATTTGGTCATGTATGTGGTCATGGATCCGGTCATAATTTGTCATTAAGTCATGGATCCGGTCATGGATCAGTTCATAGTTTGCATAAGCAAGTGCAGGATATGACTGGTTGGGGTCATGAAATGCGTGGTCATGATGGGATTTATGATTGGATTTATGACAGGTCATGGGACCGCAATATGACCGTATTCAGTCATGGCTGCACTTTATGACCCCATGAGGTCATAAAGGTGGTCATGTACCTGCTCATAAATATGCGGAACATGACCAGGTCATATTGCGCATGGTATTCCATGATGGAACAATGCATTCCATGACCACCCTGGCCCATGTTTTGCACTCATTCCATGAGTCGTACACTGCACTCCATGACTACCCTGGCCCATGTTTTGCACACATTCCATGAGTCGTACACTGCATTCCATGACCACCCTGGCCCATGTTTTGCTTGGTTTACATGACTCGTACACTGCATTCCATGACCACATTGGCACATGTTTTACATTGTTTACACGAGTCATACACTGCCCTATGGCAGTCCGGAGACGTGTAACTCGTCAGGCTCGGTAGCTACGGGGCAGTTGTCTGGACAGGTTACTCGCCAGCTAGAAGCTTGGTAAATGTGCAACCTTGAAAGTGTCATAATTAGGCACAGATATGCGCGCTGAGTGTGTGAAATGTTATGACGAGGTTAGTTAACATGTTTGCCATCAAATATAAGTGTAGGGAGGCATTATTTGTCCTTACGATTTGCTCTCTACCTACGGCCATTTGGCAGTCCAGAGACGTGTAGCGCCCAAGGCTCCGCAGCTACGGGACAGTTGTCTGGACGAGGTTACTTTTGACGTGCAGCCCCGAAAGCACATTGGGAAGCATGAATATAGCCGGTGAATTTATCATAAGTGAAATTTAGGTTACTTAGGGTGTTTGCCACTTGTATTGGTGCTCCGATGTAACATGACCATTGGTAGTCATGGTCATGGCCCAAAGGAACGCCGATTGTTCCAGCACAAAGTAGAATATAGTTGATGAACAAATAAGTACATAGGCAAGGTTACCCGAGGCCGACGTCGATCGACCTGGTCGACCAGGTCCGCCAATGTAGTGGGTCCATGCCACAATATCCGAAAGTCGGCTGAAATCATTTAAAACCTTGTCAGGTTTACTGAACAAAATTATGACCGACGAGGTTTCCATGCCATTGGCTGACATAACCGCTCATGTACGGCTTTGGCTATTATGGCTTCACTGTCCAATGTCCCAATGTTTTTATGTAGGCAGGTAGTGGTGGGCCACATCTGTGCCACGGTTGTTTTTCCTTGTGGATTCGTTACCCGTTGCCCTCTTTCTTGTTCCTGATGCTATGGAGGGTGGCTGGGGCTGGTTGGGGGAGGGGGCCGTGTATGTTTCGCCTCCGCCATTGACGTGCCTGCCCTAATTGTCATGTTCCCATCCATGTGCTGCACGTGCAGCAGGCCTCGGAAGATGGGGCCAACGTCCAGCCGGGAATGGAGGTAAGATGGGGGGGAGGGTCGGGGCTCTTATGTGTTTTACGTGGGGCATCAAGATGCTGTCGTACTCCGATATGGCTATCGGAGTACGGCAGATTTGTTTGATGTAGGCAGGTAGTGGTGGGCCACATCTGTGCCACGGTTGTGTGTTTCGTTGTGGAATCGTTACCCGTTGGCCTCTTTGTTGTTCCGGATGCTATGGAGGGTGGCTGGGGCTGGTTGGGGGAGGGGGCCGTGTATGTTTCGCCTCCACCATTGACGTGCCTGCCCTAATTGTCATGTTCCCATCCATGTGCTGCACGTGCAGCAGGCCTCGGAAGATGGGGCCAACGTCCAGCCGGGAATGGAGGTAAGATGGGGGGGAGGGTCGGGGCTCTTATGTGTTTTACGTGGGGCATCAAGATGCTGTCGTACTCCGATATGGCTATCGGAGTACGGCAGATTTGTTTGATGTAGGCAGGTAGTGGTGGGCCACATCTGTGCCACGGTTGTGTGTTTCGTTGTGGAATCGTTACCCGTTGGCCTCTTTGTTGTTCCGGATGCTATGGAGGGTGGCTGGGGCTGGTTGGGGGAGGGGGCCGTGTATGTTTCGCCTCCACCATTGACGTGCCTGCCCTAATTGTCATGTTCCCATCCATGTGCTGCACGTGCAGCAGGCCTCGGAAGATGGGGACAACGTCCAGCCGGGAATGGAGGTAAGATGGGGGCGAGGGTCGGGGCTCTTATGTGTTTTACGTGGGGCATCAAGATGCTGTCGTACTCCGATATGGCTATCGGAGTACGGCAGATTTGTTTGATGTAGGCAGGTAGTGGTGGGCCACATCTGTGCCACGGTTGTGTGTTTCGTTGTGGAATCTTTAGCCATGTCATGATGATAACACTACATGCTAGGAAGTGTGGCTGGGGCTGGTTGGAGGAGTTGGGTGTGTATGTGTCAGCACTGTCTTTGCAGTGCCTGCTTTAATTCTCATGCTCTCATACATGTGCAGCAAGTGCAGCCAACCTCCGATAGTGGGGCTGCAGCCGAAGTTTTAATTTAGGAGGGTGGTGACAGGGAGGGGGAATGGGTTTAACTCAGGGAGTGAGATGGAAGGGAGGGTTGGGGCTCCAGGTGTTGTATCCTGTTAAGCTTACTGTTAAGCTCTAGGCTCTGTTGTCTAACTGTCAGATGCCGGTCTGTCCACCCTACTGCCGCACTGCTGCAGAAGTCCATACTGGCGTCTGGGCAGGGGCTTCACCTGTCTAAAGCTGGAACCTGCTTCCTGGATGTCTGCTTCATGAGGCGAGAGTAGTTCCTGCGAACTATGGTCAACATCACACCACCCAGCCGTACTGGAACTTATTGGCATGAGGCCCAAGTGGATTCTAGAATGATTATTATTCAATCCACTTGCCTCAACCGGTATCTTTCGATACCACCATTTCATGGTTGTGTCACCCCCAAACCCCGAGGCCCCCAGGCCCCCAGGCTCCCAGGCCCCCGGCTCCCAGGCCCCCAGGCTTCCAGGCCCCCGGCTCCCAGGCTCCCAGGCTCCCAGGCTCACAGGCTCCCAGGCTTCCAAGCCCCCGGCTCCCAGGCCCCCAGGCTCCCAAGCTCCCAAGCTCCCAGGATCCCAGGCCCCCAGGCCCCCAGGCCCCCAGACTCCCAAGCTCCCAGGCCCCCAGTGTAGCAGCTGACCGCTGAAAAGGTCTCTCGAGTTGCTGGTGGTCACACTCTGTGCGTATTTATAGCACCGTACTGTGCCCCGGCTGCTACACCCAGGCTCCCGGGTCCCCAGGCTCCCAGGCCCCCAGGCTCCCAGGCCCCCAGGCTCCCAAGCTCCCAGGCTCCCAGGCTTCCAGGCTCCCTGGCTCCCAGGCCCCCAGCTCCCAGGCCCCCAGGACCCCAGGCTCCCAGCCTCCCAGGCCCCAAGGCTCCCAAGCTCCCAGGCCCCCAGGCTCCCAGGCCCCCAGGCTCCCAAGCTCCCAGGCCCCCAGGCTCCCGGGTCCCCAGGCTCCCATGCCCCCAGACTCCCAGGCCCCCAGGCTCCCAAGCTCCCAGGCTCCCAGACTTCCAGGCCCCCGGCTCCCAGGCCCCCAGGCTCCCAAGCTCTCAAGCTCACAAGCCCCCAGGCTCCCAAGCTCCCAGGCCCCCAGGCTCCCAGGCTCCCAGGCTTCCAGGCCCCCGGCTCCCAGGCCCCCAGGCTCCCAAGCTTTCAGGCTCCCAGGCCCCCAGGCTCCCAGGACCCCAGGCTCCCAGGTCCCCAGGCTCCCCGGCCTCCAGGCTCCCAAGCTTTCAGGCTCCCAGGCCCCCAGGCTCCCAGGCCCCCAGGTCCCCAAGCTCCCAGGCCCCCAGGCTCCCAGGTACCAGGCTCCCAGGCCCCCAAGCTCCTAGTCCCCCAGGCTCCCAGGCCCCCAGGCTCCCAAGCTCCCAGGCTCCCAGGCTTCCAGGTTCCCTAACTCCCAGGCTCCCAGGACCCCAGCCTAACAAGCTCCCAAGCTCCCAGGCCCCCAGCCAAACAAGCTCCCAAGTTCCCAGGCCCCCAGGCTCCCAGGCCCCCAGGTACCAGGCTCCCAGGCTCCCAAGCTTCCAGGTCCCCAGGCTCCCAGGCCCCCGGGCTCCCAGGCTCCCAGGCCCCCAGGCTCCCCGGCCCCCAGGTTCCCAAGCTCCCCGGCTCCCCGTCCCCCAGGCTCCCAAGCTCCCAGGCTCCCGGGTCCCCAGGCTCCCAGGCCCCCAGGCTCCCAGGCTCCCAGGCCCCCAGGCTCCCAGGCTCCCAGGCTTCCAGGCCCCCGGCTCCCAGGCTCCCTGGCTCCCAAGCTCTCAAGCTCCCAGGCCCCCAGGCTCCCAAGCTCCCAGGCTCCAGGCCCCCAGGCTCCCAGGACCCCAGGCTCCCAGGTCCACAGGCTCCCAGGCCCCCAGGCTCCCAGGACCCCAGGCTTCCAGGTCCACAGGCTCCCCGGCCTCCAGGCTCCCAAGCTTCCCAAGCTCTCAGGCTCCCCGGCCCCCAGGCTCCCAAGCTCCCCGGCTCCCAGGTCCCCAGGCTCCCAGGCCCCCAGGCTCCCAGGCTCCCAGGTCCCCAGGCTCCCAAGCTCCCAGGCTCCCAGGCCCCCAGGCTCCCAAGATCCGAGGCCCCCAGGTATTCAGGCCCCCAGGTCCCCAAGCTACCAGGCTCCCAGGACCCTGGGCTCCCAGGCCCCCGGGCTTCCAGGCCCCCAGGCTCCCAGGCCCCCAGGCTCCCAGCCCCCCAGGCTCCCAAGCTCCCAGGCTCCTAGGTCCCCAGGCTCCCAGGCCCCCAGGCCCCCAGGCTCCCAGGCTCCCAGGCCCCCAGGCTCCCAAGCTCCCAGGCCCCCAGGCCCCCAGGCTCCCAAGCTTTCAGGCTCCCAGGCCCCCAGGCTCCCAGGCCCCCAGGCTCCCAGGTCCCCAGGCTCCCCGGCCTCCAGGCTTCCAAGCTTTCAGGCTCCCAGGCCCCCAGGCTCCCAGGCCCCCAGGTCCCCAAGCTCCCAGGCCCCCAGGCTCCCAGGTACCAGGCTCCCAGGCCCCCAAGCTCCTAGTCCCCCAGGCTCCCAGGCCCCCAGGCTCCCAAGCTCCCAGGCTTCCAGGTTCCCAAACTCCCAGGCTCCCAGGACCCCAGCCTAACAAGCTCCCAAGCTCCCAGGCCCCCAGCCTAACAAGCTCCCAAGCTCCCAGGCCCCCAGGCTCCCAGGCTCCCAGGTACCAGGCTCCCAGGCTCCCAGGTACCAGGCTCCCAGGCCCCCAAGCTCCTAGGCCCCCAAGCTCCTAGGCCCCCAGCCTAACAACCTCCCAAGCTCCCAGACCCCCAGCTAACAAGCTCCCAGGCCCCCAGGCCCCCAAGCTCCCAGGCCCCCAGGCTCCCAGGCCCCCCAGGCTCCCAGGCCCTCAGGCTCCCACACCCCCAGGCTCTCATGCTCCTAGTAACACAAGCTCCCAACGAAAACAAATGGACTTCTCAATTTTGAATGTATAGCCACGTGAAGTTCGACCCTTCATAGTGGACCGGAAAGAGCATGGCACTCCCTTAGGGAGCCGGAGAAAGCTGTTTACATCGAACTATCCAGTCATAAGAAGCCATTGTCCTAATTCTGTAGGAATCAAGACAATTTAAACGTGGAAATCCACTCTGGAAGCAAATGGACTTCCCATTTTCGAATGTACATCGAAAGTAGTCAAGCGACTGTATGCCGTGCATAAGCAGTCTGGAAAGGATTTGAACTTGATGCTATTTAGCCCAGCACAAGTAATATCCAACCTTGACCACGGATCTGGAGCAACCGCTGACGGAAGAGAAGAAATGAACACTGAACACAACATAACACAAAAATGCAAAATATACACGGACATAAAGTTAAAGAAATGAATACGACTTAGCCAGCTTGGCTGCTGGACTGCCATGCTTGCACAGTCGAACTACCTCGCTCACATAGACCGCGGTTAGCTGCTTGCATGAATAAACAGAATGGTTCCACCTCAAATATATTTGCCGTTGGTGCCTTTCATTTGCGCCAGCCAATCTCTTGGCAGTACAGCGGCGACCCACAGGCAGGATCTGTACCTGTCTCATTGTGCATTGCCACTCATTGCAGCATCAAACTAACAGGTGTTATCGTCTTTGTAATAAATTACCTTACTCAGGATCAAGAGTCTCTGGCTGTGCTATAGTTGGCTCCAGCCCGACCCTACTCTCTAACTATGGTTAACCTCATAGGTCAAATCTCTAAAGATGCTTAAGAGGAATATCACAATGGAAGCCAATGATGATTTTGTGGGTGGATTTGGGATGCAGCCCACGCAGCCGTCGGACAATAGGCGCAGGATGCACGAGGTCCAGCTGCAGCTATGATGCAGCCAACGAATGACAAGTGAGTGGCATCATCAGCCATTGCACTTGTTCATTAGATGAGCGGTACATTTTAAACGTGCCCAGCAACGTTTGCAGTGCTGCTGGTGATAAGGCCACCAAAGCGTTTGAGGAATTCCTGGCCGTCAGTGGAATGGAATATGACGACTTTGCCGAGTTCTATGGCAACTTGGCAACAAAGGACTTCACCATCGCGACCACGCTCCTCATGCCATGGCTGCACACCTGGGCAGCACCAAACCCAAGCAACAACCCAAAGTATGATGTTGTCTCATGAGAAGTAGTAAAATTGGGCTTGCGTGCTAGACATTGCAACTGCTTGCTTGCATGATCTGCAGGACTCAAATGAGGGGGTTGCAACCCCATATGGTAAACTTGCTTCAGCAGGCATGTGTACAGAAGCGAGAAACGGGAGCTGCAGACGGCATCATCCACCAAAGCTCTGCCTACGATGAAGAAAGGTGACATAAGCATGATGCCGCTCTGCCTGAGATATGGGTGCCGGTTTGGAAGCTTAAGCTATTGAGGATGGAGGCATATGTTGGCTACTGGCTCATATCACGGGGCATGACACGTGAATAGTGACCACTGGTGAGTTGTTCTCTGGGGGAAATCATGATGTAACAGGTTGATTAAGGCAACTACCCAGGTTTAAACAGGAAGAAGCCGTTGACGAAGTATGTTGGTTACTAGCTGATACACGGAACTAAGACTTGGGCATGGTGAGATGTTCCCAGCTGGGGAAGTCATGATCGTCGTAGTCCCGACGTTAGACGGACGACGTTTAGTCGTTCCGTCGTCGGGACGGAGACCTTCGCCGTAGCTCATATGTTATGAGCGGAGGCCTATCCTGAGTTCGATGGTTGTCTGTCCGTCGCTGTAGCTCATATGTTATGAGCGGAGGCCTATCCGGAGTTCGCTGTCACCGTAGCTTCTCGTAGCGCAGCGAAGAGCGAAGCGGAGGGAAGGCATCTCTGAATCGCGTCCGTGAGCGGCTCGTGTCCGGAGCTCGTTGGAAAGTCGCGCTCGAATGGATGGTTCCGGAGCTTTGCGTTTTCGTTAGTGCGCACCCTCTTCACAATCAGAGGTCGCGGGTTCGAGTCGCACTCCGCGAGTTTCGAGTTGCACACCGAAACGCGAGGATGCGAGGACGACAGGTCGCGGGTTCAAATCACGGGTCGCACGCAAGGGCACATGGACGCGTGAGCGTGTGGGCACGTGGGCGCATGGGACCGTGGCACCGTGGATGAAGCCACACGTGGATGTAGCATGGACGCGTGGACGCGGGACATGAGGATGTAACATGGGCGTGTGCATGAAGCGTGGACCGCGAACATGTGGGCGGGGACACGCGGATACTGGGCCGTCAGGCCATGGGGACGACTGGGCGCGGTGGTGGGTAACGAACAACAGACGCCCGTAGTTGTGTTGTTCGACTTGAACTTTCAAGGTTAAACGTTTATCACAAAATATCAGGATAACCGGGTACGCCTGGGCGTGGCTGTGGGTATATCCACGTAGTTCCACTGTGGGATAGGACTTGCAGTGGAAAACTAGACTACAACGGCTCCACCACGAAATGACGTGAAGTCGCGCACACCGCAACATTCCCCGGGATAAAATACAGTCGCAGAAATTCTATAGAATCATACGGATTCAGAATACATTCTATCAACGTTGGTTAACCAGTGATGCTGTGCAGCACAGTTATTGTATAGAAGTAATGTGTGCCATTGGCCCTCGAGTGCATTTATCAATTTTGTCAAACGGATCCAGGATAAAATTTATCAAATGGATTCAGGAAAAAATTCTACCAAACAGTGGTGCTGCACAACATACATCCATATTGTATCAATGTACTGTGTTCCATTGGCCCTCAACTGCATTCCTTGAGGATAGGAGGATAACCTGTCGTGACATCAGTCTGACCAGCCATTTCTATGGACAATTCTGGTTCTGGTAAGGAGTCCTGGTTGGGACTGATGCCCGTGATGTTGCTCCATCTCCTGCATGGGCGGTAGACTAGTAATCCTCTTCCTGACATCATGCAGGATGTCGGCGGTTAGGTACAGTTGCAGGTGGAGGCTCGTGGCTTCTGAGCTTGACGGGCCGGACTCAAGCCAAACCTTCCCCCCCCGACACCCCAGCTGTCCAGTGCGGATGCAACCAGAAAGGTGCAGGCGTGAGCCAACCGGACGCCTGAGCAAGTGGCGGCGGACCGTGCAGCAGCTACTGCTCGGTGGGCGTGGTGGTCGGAGGCACGAGCCAACCGAACGCCTGAGCAAGTGGCCACGCATCGAGCAGCACATGCAGCTCGGGTAGCGGATGTGCGAGCCAACCGAATGCCTGAGCAAGTGGCGGCAGACCAAACAGTGGACACAGCTCGAAAGCATCAAGCCCGTGCGATTCGGCAACAGTCATCTGAGGAGCGCACACCACAACACACCCACCGCAGCAGGGGTAGCCTTGTGGAGGCCATTTTGGATGCTGCCTTCTGGGTGTTCAGGCGGCCGACAAACCCCACCAAGCCTCGTATGGGTGCCTGGTTAGACAGCAGTACAGCTATATGGCCGGAACATGTGCAAGATGTTCCTGCAGGTCAGCCTCTGCCCACTGTAATTCCCTTAACAGCTTCTGTTAGGGTTTAAGGTTTAGGGTTTAGGGTACAGATCCGAGTCGCTGAACAGCTTGATGCCACTGTCAAAAACAACATGCCATCATGTGTCTGCACCTGCTGCAGCGAGATGAAGTCCACGGTACAGGCACACGGCTACCGGTTTGGTGACATCCCCAACGTGCACCAGTTGCGTGCAGATGTTTGGAGGATGCTGGCAGTGGCACATCCAGCTCAAGTCGTCGCATGGCTACCAGTCACAGCCGCCAGAGCACCACCACCGCCCGAGCCAGCTTTGCCGTGGGGCTTCCGAAAGATGTGGCTCAATGGGCATTCTACAGAGAAGACGGGGCTCACCAAGCGTCCTGGTACGACAGGGGACTCTGGTGGTTCGGATGACCAAGAGCACCGCCAGCCCACCCAGCAGCACAGTTCGTTGCAACAGGCGTGGGACCATTTGGGCAACACTGGAGCATATGGCTTCCCGGAAGACTTTCCACCACATGAGGCGGGCCCATCTAGTCTGCCACGGTGACGTCGGTGTGAGACGGATGGTGTTGACGATGAGCATGAGTCTATTCTTTCCGATGAAGAAGCAGGAGTGGATGCGACACAGCCACAAGACGTGGACGGCCAGCATGAGGAATGGATGCTTCCTTCATGGCCGCCACGACCTGGCATGGAGCCACGGCCGGATCCCACTGCTCCGGGTGTGTGGCTAGTGCCGTACCGCATGTGTGTGGAGCGCTCTGGGGAGAATTGTATGGTGCACACCAACGAGGCTGGCAACGACATCATCATGATGTGCAATGACTGCATTCATGCCTTGGAATGTAAGCACTAAACACTAACATGAGAATTTGCATGAGTGCTTTCGTTGCCGATCATGTGTGCTGGGTGTTCATGCATGCATGCACACAACCACACTGGTTATTCTGACTGGTCTGCCCTGCCTGTGGCTGCTGCCTCCGCATCCAGGCGGACGCATCCCAGAGGCTGCTCTCACACGCTATGATGGTGGAGACGTGCCGGAAATCAATCAGGACGGGCAGCGTCTGGAGTGGCCTACCGTGCTGGAAGCCAACATACTGGGGCTGGGCCATGTGCAGCAGCAGATCTACATGCTCAAGGTCAAGAACCGGCCGCCTGACTTGCAGCCCATCACCGTCACAATGCACGGGATAGCCGTGGTGAACCCATCACTCGATCAGTGGGTGGATGCCATCCCACGCTCTGCTGCATTGTTGCCGGAGAACATCACCGTCCGAACAGAGTGAAGAGCTGCCAGTAAGATATCGACACGGTGGGCGCCATCCCACGAGAGGCTGTCAAAGCGATGGTGGACATCCTGGCATTGCCAAAGATGCACCCGGATCGCTGCCGCTTGCTCCAAGACACGTCACCTCTCGTGCATGCTCTCGTCACCTCTCTTCGGTGAACGGTCGCACGCATCGACATGACAGATGCCTATTACCGCAACATGCACGCCAATCTACGTGGTGTAGCCACCGCAACCGGGCTGCCACTCCTCATGTTTAACGTCAACCCCGCCGCCTTGCACAGTGCAGCTGCAGTCGTGGCCGCTGGGCAATTTTTCGAATTTGGCGAGGATGGTGCTCCGTTGCAGGAGGAGTGTGTCATGGACAAGTGGTGGTGGGTGCGAAACAACCCCTACACCAGCCAAGCACTCCTCAACACGGTTAAGCTCGCCTTCATGGACATCCTTTTTGGTTTCAAACCTGGCGACAAGCGGCAGAGCAACCCTGACTGCTTCTGTGGCACCATGTTCCACATCTGCATCAAGGTGGAGCAGAGTGGATGCCTCGCCCTGCACTTGCACGGCATGGTGCACCTGGCAGCATTCACCGTGGACAAATGTTTGAGGGGCCCAACTGCCACGCTCTGGCGCTGGCACACACCCTCTGCAGCATGTGGCTGCCTGAGCCGTACTACGAGATTCAGGACAAAGAGTGACGAGTCTTCTGGCAGACACCCCTGGTCATGGCTGCACCCACCACACCAACAGCAGTTGCACCGACACCCATGAAAACATCAACGGCAGCAACGAATTCTGGTGATGATGACATGACAGATGCTACTGCAGAAGAGGATGACGGCCTGACTCAAGCAGAACCTGGCAGCGCCTCGGGCACACATGAAGACATTGGCAATGGTGACAATGGAGTCCAGCCAGCCCCCCCCGCAGTGTCTGCTGGCCGCCCCCCAGCCATCCGCGCGCCTCAACCAGATGGATCCATGCCAGCACCCGCGTATGACTTTGCCATTGTCGCCTGTGGCAAGCCGTGTGGGACCGGGGGTGAAGCCACTGATACCTTTACACCCAAAGTGTGCTTGGAACACTGCACCCAGCACCTTGTGGCGGGTGTCATGGGGTCCTGCACCCACAAACACACCGACACCTGCAAACACTTCGGCTGTGCAGGCGTGGATGGAGACTGCGGCATGGCCTACCCATGCCACATCTGGTGTGAGATCAAGTGGGTGGGCGACAGGGCCTGTTCGTTCTGCCCCGATATGGCCCCAACATTGTGCCCCATTGCCCCGCTGTCACAATGGTGCTGGGCTGCAACAATGTCTTCACGCTGGCCTGCGAGCTCGACCGTCAGTACACCGCAACAGTGGAGGAACAGCTTGGACTGCCGGTCCCCATGTGTGACCCCGAGGTCCTGGAGGACATCCTTGTGCAAGCAGAGGTTGTGGCCCACCGAACCACGCACTATGCCACCAAGTATGTCGCCAAGGCCATGTCGCAGAGCCAAGTCACACGGCTGAACCGCGTGATCATGATCAGCCGCCACTTCCTTGACACTGCAGCTGCTGGTGGTGGAGACCCCGCAGCCGCCCATGAGGACCGATGCAAGGGCATCGGAAACCTTATCTCCACAGTGAACCGTACGACAGCCAGCCTGACCATCAGAATGGCCATGGCGTCCTTCAAGTTGGCAGGACACGATCGTGCCGAATGTTTCATGAAACGTTCGAGACCACGTATGAGAACATGTTCCTGAGCACAGGCCCGTTCATGACCATTGTGCTCCGGGATGACCATGATGATATCAACAGCTTGGAAGCAGCAGCTGAGACCCTACTGGTTTTTCATAATGACAATCCGGAGCAGCCGGGTGCTGCTGTGACGGCTCTGACTCACTACCACCAACATGGCTCAGAACTGGATGGAATCGAGTGCAGCCCGTTCATTCACCCCACTTGCCGACACCATGCTGGACGACATCACCTTCACCTGCGGAGCCGTCAACGTGGCTTTCACGGCAGATCTGCATGTAAAGCTGCAGGGCACAGATCTGACCATTGCGAGACTTGAGAACGTCCACAAGATTGTTACCACGCGCTGAGACTGCGAACCTAGCAATGTTTGTGTGTGAATCAATTTGACGCTCAGGCTTCGAATTAAAGTTATTGCATGCCTGCTGTTGTGTGATTGCACAACTTCTTACATGGCTGCTTGCGGTGAGGAACTGCCTCTCTTGCTGTTATGGGTCGTTGCTGTTGGATGCCGGATGTGAACCTCGAGAATGCCTTCTGCTACGACACTGCTGGCTGTGGCTTGCTACTAAGCCACCCTCCGTCACAGATGTAATGTAACTGAGTCCACACCACTGCTTCCCCACATTAACACCGTTCTCACCTACGCACCACACAGCACCTTACACACCACACACCCGCAGCTGCCCTGGGAGTCGAAGCTACGGTCCCCTTCGCGGCGCAGCGCGGTCCGTCCGTCTGTCCGGTTGTCTGTCCGGAGCGTTTTGGAAATCCCGCGTCGGGAGCGTGCCGTACGTGCTAAAGACCGCCCCGGAAATATCCGGAAAGAATGCGAGGTCGCAGGTTCGATCCCCACATCCTATGTTCAAATGCATGTTCATGTTTTCGCGTAATTCTTCTGAACGTTCCGTTTAATTGTGAATGCGAGTTAAATATATGTGGTGGTCATTGGTCATAAATATATTTGCTCGTGTGCATATATTGCAGCAGTATTGCAGCAGGTGATAGTTGTGCACCTGAGCGGCCACCGGAGGTTTTTCCGCAGGCGCACGGTGTAGCGCTGCTCGACCCAGACCGACATTTATGGCATTTATGGTGTGCAATCGGCACGAATTGTGAGAACGCGTCCGCAGTGCACCTATACTACAGATGCGTTATCGTTGCGTGGGTCCGCTACCTGCAATATTGTGGAGAGGTGGGCGATTGGTTCTGTAGCGCTGCGGGAATACGAGAAAATGGGCTGTACCCCGTTTGTCCCGGAGGTACTGCTGGATAACGCAGTGGGACCCACTGGAAGTGGTTGGTGTGCTGCGCAGCACCTGTATGCATGGTCGCACAGAAACTGTTGGTCTATGTAAAATTTAGTAATACTTTAAACGCAATTCACTCGTTGAACGCGCTTGAAGGCGCCTCCATGCAACTGATTGCAACTGAATACCCAAGTATGTACATCCACCACGTCCAGAATGGATACGCTTGCGTACACATACATATATGTACGCTATATTATATCGGTATTATATCGGGCATCTGTACAGTAACTCTTTACCGCGTTTTGCTGTATCCGCAACGTTGCTACAAAAGTTCTGGAAAATAGCATATATCGGAATTTTAGTGCAATACCGGACTTTTATTTTACTTTCGCAAGTATAAGTTTGTTGTTCATATGCAGCAGGACGAACAGCAGTTGGGCAGTCGGCGGTCGCCATTAACCGTTCGACTGATCTGTAATAATTCACTACGTCTTGGTTCGTTGCACAGATCCACCGGTTTTTTGCAGTCTTTACGTAGTACCAGTTCGCCCGCGGCCACCGGCCCGGTAATACAGCGCGATTCGGCCACCCAGCGTGAGCGACGGGAGCGATTGCAGCAGGAGGATCCAGCGGCCGCCGCCGCGGCACTACAGCATGAATTGGCCACCCGGCGTGAGCGCCGGCGGCGTTTGCAGCAAGAGGATCCAGCGGCCGCTGCCGCGGCATTACAGCATGATTCGGCCACCCGGCGTGAGCGACGGGACCGATTGCAGCAGGCGGATCCAGCGGCCGCCACCGCGGCAATACAGCATGAATCGGCCACCCGGTGTGAGCGACGGGAGCGATTGCAGCAGGAGGATCCAGCGGCCGCCACCGCAGCAGTACAGCATGAATCGGCCACCCGGCGTCAGCGACGGGAGCGATTGCAGCAGGAGGATCCAGCGGCCGCCGCCGCGGCAGTACAGCATGATTCGGCCACCCAGCGTGAGCGCCGGCAGCGATTGCAGCAGGAGCGTGGGCGTGAATCTACCCTACTGGACCGTCTTAACAGTTTGTTACAACTGGATTACTTGCATGGCGACCGGCCCATCGAGCTGCCAGACTTCTTGATGGCTCTGCCTGATGGCCGTGTTGAAGACCTGCCTGACAGTCAGTTGCCAGTAGAGCACCAAGTGCCGTATGACGTGCAGCTGCAGACCGCTTCTAGCATGGCGGCGGCATTGCGGCGTCGTATGCCATCACATGTATGTGCTGTATGCTCTGAGCTGTGCTCAACAGACAGCTGCTCAGTGTACAGCTTCCATGACATCCCTAATGTGGACCTGCTGCGTGCCGACATTCCGTGTACAATGGCTGTGCCGCGCCGTGCACACACACTGACATGGCGCCGTATGGCACGCACAGTTGAGGGGGAAGCACCACCGCCGCCAGACCCCGTGCTGCCAGTTCGGTACCGTATCCGGCGGAATGATCGGCGCAACACAGCCCTGGGGGAAGACGGTGCAGGCACTAGTGGCAATGGTGTCGCTATGTTGCTGGACGACGACATCAGGGGCGCCCATAGCGGCACCTCTGAGGAGGACGAAATAGCACAGGCTGCACTGGAAGCGCCATCACAACAGCTGCCGCCCGAGCTGCAGCCAAAGCCACCCCGCGTACTGCCGCGCCCATGCCCTACAGACTCTGCATCCGTGGAAATACCGTACTGTATTCGGCTGGAGCCCGACCTACCCAATCGCACCATGCTGGTCGATGCAGCTGGCATGGAGCGCATCTTCGTCTGCAAGGATTGTGAGGCTGCACTTTCGGGTAAGATTTAGTACTATCCAGTGATGTATCTTCCGTGTATTGTATGACGTCGTTTGCTTGGCGAGCATCCTTCCTGCGTGGTTTTCGTTGTTTTTTTGCGGTATCACTTCACCTTCACGGGTTCACCTTACCTACATGTGTTTCTTTTGTTCCCTCCGGGTGTTCTATGGCAGCTCGACGCATCCCAGATGCAGCTCTGGCGCGCCTGGACCCCGGGGATGTGCCCCTCAGCAATCACCTCGGTGAGCCGTTGCCCCTTCCGACCTTCCTGGAAAGCCAGGTGCTCGCGCGTGCACACATATTGCAGCAGGTGATAGTTCTGCATCTGGGCGGTCGGCCACCGGAGGTTTTTCCACAGGCGGTACGTGCACACGGTGTAGCGCTGGCCAACCCAGGCCGACATCTATGGTGCGGCCTCATACCAGCAGCACTCGCTGAAATGGCAGGGTGCATCACCGTCGTCTGTGTGGACCATGTGCGCAACCGGCACGAGTTGCGAGAACGTGTCTGCAGTGCACCTGCACTACAGATGCGAGGACCCATTATCGTTGCGTGGGTCCGCTACCTGCAGCATCTCGATGAGGAGGAGTGGGCGATCGATCCCGTGGCGCTCCAGGAATACGAGAAAATGGGCTGTGCCCCGTTCGTCCCGGAAGTATTGCTGGATAATGCAGTGGGACCCACCGATGAGGAAGTCGCTGGTGTGCTGCGCAGCACCTTTATGCATGGCCGCACAGGAGCTGCTGGTGTTCGGCAGCAACAGGATGAGATTGAGGCTGCAATTGCTGAGGCTGGGATGGAGACGACTGGAGCACATGCCTCGACAATTGATGAGGCTGCAAACGGGGCTGATATGGATGTTGATGCTGCTAGTGCTGCTGAGGCTGCTGCTGCAGTTAGTGCGCGTGACGAACAGGAGGATGACCAGGACAGCTTGCTTGGTGGACGGCCATTTGTCGCATTTGTACACACGCCTTCCACCACTGCAGAGCCGATCGCAGGTGCAGGTAAGAGGTTTTGCCAATATTTGTGAACTTCAGTTAGATATTATGGCTGTATCCAGTGCTTTTGTACGGTATTTCGTCGCAATAATGTTGAAGTGTTAGAAGTCTTTCCTTCCATGTTCCTGCATGGACGGGAATATTGGGATACCAGTGTATAATGACCTGTCCCCGTTTCACCTTACCCCACAGAGCCACCCGAACCTGGCACCACTACAGAGCCGGTGGCAGGTGCAGGTAAGAGGTTTTCACGTGTGCCAATACCTGTGGGCTTCGGTTAGATATTATGGGCTTACCCATTGTTTTCGTACAGTGCTTTCGTCACACTACTATTGGAATAATATAATGATCTTGGATGTTCCTTCCGCATGAACAGGAATATTGGGATGCCAGTGTATAATGACTGATCCCCGTTTCACCTTACCCCACAGAGCCACCTGAGCCTGGCACACTGGATGAGCTGGAGCTCGTCGTACCGCAGCCCTCCCATCTACCGAATGATGGCAGCGAGATCGACACATGCCCGTGGCGGGTGGAGGAGATGCTAACTGGTCGCTCGAAGCTGGTACTGTGTGGCGGTGACTATGCCCGACAGCCGCTGGATGAGCAGCACCCGGCGATTCTCGCGGTGTGCTTCCCAACGGCCTTCCCATATGGCCTGTCCGGGCAGCGCCCGCCAGGGATGTCGTACTCCGTCTACTGCAAGCACCTCATCCGGAGGGTGCCACGGAAGCAGTTTAGCGGGAACCCAATGTTGCTGGCTCGGATGTACGACATTTCCCTCCGGCAGGCGACGATGGCCCAGGTGGGGATAACCATGCGAATAAAGCCGCACCTAGAACGGGATCTTACACGGCTGCCACGAGATGTAGTACGGGCCATGGCGGACATCCTGGCGCTACCGTACAGCCACCCACAGCGCCGGGCTTTGCTGGCGCAACAGTCCCCATTGGTGCAAACACTGGTAGAAGGTACCCGCCGCAGTACCGTACATGTGGACCTCACCGATGCATATTACAACGGTGCACAAGCGCAAATGCGGGCAGCAGCTATGGCCATCGGCTGGCCAACTCTATTCTTCAACATCAACCCGGCCGACATGCACGCCGCCGCTGCTATTGTAGCGTCCGGGCAGGTCGTGGAATTCGGGGAGGACGGGCGGCCACAAAACATTCCCAGCACAGTTGAGAGATGGCGACGGGTCAGAGACGATCCATACAGCTGTGCAATGCTGCTGGTGGTGACGAAGGAAGTACTGGTCGAACAGCTCTTTGGCTTTGCACCCGGCGCGCAGGAACAGAGCAACACCAACTGCTTCTGCGGCCGGACCTTTGAAGTGGTGACCAAGGTGGAGCAGAGCGGTCGCCTGGTGCTGCACGTGCATGGTGTAGCGCATGTGGCAACCTTTGCGGTGGAACGGCTCCAGGCGCTGTTTAATGGCCCTAACTGCCGTGCCCTGGCACTGGTGTACGCGTTATGTCAGCAGTGGTACCCGTCCCCCTACTACGACCCATCAGTACCGGAAGACAGCCGCCGTGTATTCCAGATGTCGCCAGAAGAGACGGCGCAACACGGCATACCGCCACCAGCCGCAGACAAGTGCTGCCCTCGTGCGGCCTACAATTTCGAGTGGCTGGCTGGATGCAGCAATGGCGGCTTGCCACCACACAAGAAGCACGCAGCATGCCGTGCACATCATGCTGCTGTACTGCGAACAACCCTTACACACACTCACAGCGATGTGTGTCCGACACGGCTGCACAGGCACCGACGGCAGCTGTGGTATGGCATTCCCGCGCATCATACGACACCTATTTCGGTGGATCGGCACGCAGGGTCTGTTCTTGCTGCCGCGGCTGGGCCGCAACCTCGTGCCGCATTTCCCTGCAGCAGCACTCGTGTTCGGCTGCAACCAGCTCTTCAGTCTGGCCTGCGAAGTGGACCGGGCATATACGACGGAAGTCGCAGCACAGCTAGAAACAGCAGCCGACGGGAATGAGACACCCGCACCAGAGGAACCGCTGGGCTCTGCTACCGATCACGCACGTGATGTGGCGTACTACACGTCCAAATACACGGCCAAGACCATTGAATGCAGCCAAGCGGACCGTTTGTGTAATGCCGTCGCCCGTGTACAAGACTTCTTGCTATCAGGCGTCCCTCCACCGCCTGTCAACAACCAGGACCTTGCCGCCACCACTCCTACCGCCTTCGGAAACCTTGCGGCCGCCGCACATCGCATGACCGCCACCATCACCGTGGGCATGGCACTAGCGGCATTCAAACTGTCCGGATACGACACCTTCCAGGCATCGTACCAGCGCAGCTACCTCCCCGTCGGTGGGTTCACAGCATTGGCAAACACACCTGGAGCTGGACCAGATAATGAGGATGGCGCAGTGGAAGTCGCGCTCGTAAACACAGATACAAACACCGGCGACTATGTCATCTCCAACACGGTGCAAAACTACATCCTCCGCGGCCCGGAGCTTAGCGGCTTGGAATGCAGTGCATACACGCTGGCGAGCAACTACAGCTTGGCTCGCGTGCAACCAGCACAACACCTGCACGCTACTACCCTCCAAGGCATGGTCCTACCTAGCCGCCATGGCCGCAAACGCACCGCTACCAACAGTGCAGTACTCACACCTTCTGTGGATGGAACGTCGCCCAACCAACCAGCTCCTACAACCTGTATACCAGGTCCATCAGTGCCGACCGTGACGTCACCTCCACCGCTGGAACAATTGCCGAGTGGTACCAGCAGTGTCACTAATGCAACCCGACTAGTGGCTCTGCATCCCAGCCATCCACTCTATCTTAGTCACGTCCTGAAGCATCATCCCCGCCCACAGTACGTCCTCTTAGGCGGCTCCCTCCCACGCCGGCCGACTGAACGCACCAAGCCGACGGACGCTGATGAGTACTATGCCTTTGTGCTAGGTACCTTCAAGTCACATCGTGGCGCGCCTGTGCCCCCTAACTTAACGGTACAACAAGCATACGACGAGTGGTGGTCTGAGCTAGCCACCACTGAATCTGGCCGCCGGTACCAGCAATGTGTGGCGGCCATTTTGGACAATATTGAACAGGACCACACTGCCCGCGCACACCACACCGAACAGTACAACCAACGGCGGCGCAAGCACAAACTCCCCACGGAGGATCCTGGCGGATATCGGGCTGACGATGATGATGACGGCAATGCTGAGGCGCAGGATGCGCACTTCGAGACACACCCTGAGACATGGCCTGCCAGTGATACACAGATCGAACAAGGCCACCCTCAGCAGCCGCGTCCCGCTCCTACTGCCGGCCTGGACCTCGCTGCCACACCGATCGGCACCCTATTCGACCGTACCACTGCCAGTGGATTGTACGCATATGATGCCGTCGTACGATGCCCTGTGCCCGTGCTGGTGAGCGGCCATGGTACCTCCGCCTCTTATCTACTGCGCCGTGTGAATGCTGCCGATATGACGGCCCTCGAGGAGGCAGCTCGGCGCCTAAAACGGTACACTACCAACACTACCCCCCAAGACGGCGTTGAGCCCGACCGTCGCCTAAGTCTACACCGGCAGACCTCGTCCGTCAGCCCCATTGTCGCCATAGTTGAAGTCGAGGGACATGCACCTGAACCTGTGCCGGCCGGCAATACACCGCCTTACATTCGTCTACCTCAGCCACCCACCATCGAGGATACCATTCACCTCTTCACCCTATCGCCAGAGCAAGCAGTACCGTTCATCCTCATGGCCCGGTACTTCGATCGCCGTGCAGAGCCCGACCCTGGACTTCCACCTCGCATGCTTGTGGTGGGCCGTCCCGGTACCGGCAAATCACAGTTCGTACACGCACTGCTCTGGTACACATTCCAACATGGTGTACCCGAGTGGCCTGCCACCTGTGCCTACGCCTGGACTGCTGCTGCCGCCTTCCACAATGACACGCATCGCAGCCTTTCCACTCACGCCATGTTCGGCCTTGCAGCAATGGGCATCGGACACGGGCGCTCCAAACGTGGCAGCGCCGTCGCCTTGCAGGTAAGCATGTTATGCAAAACGAACTCTTTCCCACTACCAACCAAACACATCACGCGCTACTGTCTACCACTTGCATTACACTGTACATCATAACCAATTCATCCCATATCAACCAACATTCCATTCCCTACACGCTGACTGCTGCACAGGTACACCGCAATGTGGGCTCCGGTGCAATCATCATCGACGAAATCGGCATGAGCAGCATCGAGCATTTGGGCGCCATCTACAATGCGTGCAATAAACATCTCACGTGTGCACGTGCCCGCCACAGACGCGGCAGCACACGTACTGGCAGGCCGGGCAGCAGCTGGTGTTGGTGATCCCTGCCAACATCCCCAACCCGGCGGACACCCGGCATATCACTACGCAGCACAGCTGGAGCGGGAGCCTGCCTTCACACCCTCTGCACCCAACTCACAACGCGTGCATCAGGGAGAGTCCACGTCAGAAGACGAGCACACAGTCACATCTGACTCCTCAACTGACAACAATGCAGCACCATCCACCAGGCATCGACACCCAGTTCCACAGACACGTGACCATATCCACAACGGCTTCATCCTCTACCGCAACCTCGCCCAAGACGTCTTCTTACTCACCCGTCAGCAGCGCCAGAACAACACTCCAAGCGGCATCTACCTCACCGAGGCTTCCACCATGTTTGCAGGTGGCCCGGTCACCCGCGAGCGCATTGAGGAGCTCGTCGACAAGCTGAATGCGCGCGCCATCTCTAGCTTGTCGGCCCTGACACCCCTCAAGCCCCGTGTCGTTGTCCAACGAAACGAACCGAGGCACGCGCTAAACACACGCCTCATGATGCTGCAAGCGCAGCACCTGAGCAAACGCTTGGTGGTTTGGAATGCGGACCACGTACCACACCAGCCCCGTGGCACAGCCCCACAGGCTCCGCTCACCCGTGTAGAGCAGGCTGTTGCCATGCGTGTCAAGGACGCCGAGTTCGATCACACCACGGCGGACACATGGTACTATGAAGGCGCCCCTTACATCCTGCTGGATACCACCTGTGCTGAAGCCGGCGCGTTCCACAACAATGAGGTTGAAGCCTGTGGCCTTCTAACGGACGAGCGAGAACCACCGGATGATGGCACCGGACCGTACCGGCGGCTACAGTACCTCCCCACCGCCATCCTTGTACGCCCGATCCACGGTCACAAACCCACCACTATCCTACAGGGCTCGCACGACCTTGCCAGCCACGGTGCTACTTTTGCGCTCCGACCCCGTGCCAGCAAGGAGCCTGCGACCGTCCTGATGCCCGCCACCAACACCGGCACCGCACCCAAAGCCATCAAACGCATCAACTTCGGCCTCGGTGACTGGTTCGTTGTCACGGACCACTGGGTACAGGGCCGAACATTCCGCGAGTGCTGGGTCGTCGACCTCAGTGTACCACCGAAAGGGATCAAGCGTGCCACTCTCTTCGTCCTCCTCACCCGCTTCAAATCCCTCGATGACATTCACCTCCTGCGCCCACTCTACACCACCCCGACCGAACGCCGCAGCGTGGTCACCGCCTTCCAGCGCGCCACCAGGCTGACCGACGACCTAGCCGCTGAACTGCGTTTGCTGGACGCCACAGCAGCCGACACACACCGACGCTACCGGAACGAATTCCGGTGGGCGGAACAGCTGGAGATGCGCCGTGCACCCGACACCGCCACCTAATGGCCAACCTGCATCACCTCCCTCGCGCCACCCCGTATCACCTCCCTCAATAACGCCTTCCCGCGGCGCAAAACCGGGCGTGCTGCCTCAGCACGACAAACCGTCCCTAGGGGTGTCCAGCACTTGCTGGACAGCAGGTTCGAATCCTGCGATGGTTTTCATGTTTCCATGTTTTCACGCTTTCTTGTTTTTGTTACTTATAACACACAACTAAAGAAAGAAGGCATAAGGGAAAAGAAATAGCTAAGGAGGAACGACGAAGAAGGATCAAGAAAGGAAGGATAGGACAGCGACAGACGAAAAAACGATCAAAGTTTAACACACAAAGATCAACACAAACACTTCAACACATACAAAACACTTCAACACATACAAACTCGAACATAGAATTTTCAACCAGTAAAATTCAATAGGCAAAATTACACCCACGAAGCTAAACGTACAAAGTCAAACGTGCAAATTCACGTGGGAACACTAGGGAACACTACATATATAAACCAACCATAACTGCAACCACAACCGTGACCGCGACTTTGCCTATAATTTCATGCGTATAACTTTATCCAACTCTGTGCACTGAACTTTGCATTTTGAAATTTGTATGCGTTACACTTTGCGTATTTAATTCTTCCGCACCGAACTTTACATGTTCACCTATGCATGTTAAACTTTCTACTAAACGTTCACCTCTGTGCCTCAACTATTTTACATTACAAAATGTCTGACACGTAAACTGACATCATCCAACGTGGTCCACCCTTCGCATGTATGCAACAAATAACGGTCACACTTGGTAAACACAACGGAGTACAGCTGTGTTTCTATGTATATATAAAATATAAATTTCCTAAAAGGTCACGTTATCACCGCCACAGCGATCAGATGCCTCCAAAACTTGTCCAAAGCGAAATTTGCTCAAGGTTGGCCAAATTTGACGTCCGAATTAAGGTTCGATCGCAATATACGAACAAGGTGAATCACGACAAGGTTGTAGATCTACACATACAAAGTTATTATAAAAAGTCGTTACAACCTCAATATATCACAAAACACCAACTCTACACTATACAAACAAATAGTGTACAACGATGTCCAAACGTTCCCGCGAATCACTAAGTGTTTCCTCGTCAGTCACGAAAAAGCTTGAAGTAGCACGCAGCAGCGCAGGCAGTTCTGCTGTGACCGCCGCAGGCGCAGTTCCCTCCACAGCAAGGTACAAACGGTATATAATCGGCAACCTACATTATATAAATAACAAAAAGGCAAACGAGCCACCTTACATTACACGTTAGATTGCACTTCCGGTCCTGCAAATCCACTTCTTCACTCCGCTGCACTTCGTCCAAAATTCCTATTACTGTTTTTGTTGTTTACTAAACAGGTCCGTGAACTTACTACTCACGTGGACAGCCGGCCCCAAGGCCAAAGCCCCAAACACTTCCTTTTCGGCAGTACCGACGGACGCTGGCTACTTTGTCGCTGGCGTTATCCGAGGCCACTCTGCAATCGGCATCGTAAGCATCAACAACGCAGTGCTTGACGACCTACTAGCTGCACACCAAGGTCAGTACGAGAACCGGAAAGACCGTGCAGCACTCATTTTCAGCCGTAACCCACGCTGCCCTTCCTACAAAATTAATAGAACGCTTCGGATCGCTGCCGTCATGGCAACTCGAGGCAACAGTACCATTTGGAGCAGCCACCAATTTTCCCAATGTTATGGCAGCAACAATTCACTATATTCTCTTCGTTGCAAATCCCGATACTGGTGTTCCAACTCAGAACGTTTGCATATCACAAATAATGTTATATGATAACGTACCACATATCGCAATAATAATGTCGGGAACTTTGGGTTCCCCTTCGGGGAAGAAAACAAAGAGGTACTCGTCCTCTTTAAGGGAACCAAAGGGGAACCGAAGGTGAACTAAAGGAGTTTTGAACCTATGACACCTTATATAGATATCTAATAATTACCAACACAATTTTTATATAATATACTTAGACTCACTTCATGTAAACCTAAACCAATTCCTTTCAGAAAGTAAAATTCCGTACTACCGCACATAACCATAGCCATACGAACACATTTAATTCGTAGGAGAAGGCGCAGTAGGATCGGAGGTGGAGTTTTCAGCCGTAGCCGACGCTGCCCTTCCTACTAAATTGGTAGGACGCTTCGGATCCCTGCCCTCATGGCAACTCAAGACTACCGACAGCACGACAGTAACCTGCAGAGCAGCTACTGAATTTCCCAAAATTATGGCAGCAACAATTCGCTACCCGGCAATCAATCCAAGCCGAAACGAACCAGCCGCAGATGAGAAATGGCCAGCCGATGGCAACGCACTTCTAGTCCTCCCCTATGGTGACGCCCGTCATACAGCGGGCCCCACCAAATTCGCCACAAAAATTGCCTGCATCTCAGAGCAGGCAACCGCCGCGTATGATATGGAAGTAGCGATGATGGCCATGCCCACGCCTTACGTCCAACTCTGGAAACAGGCAGCGCAGCAGCGGCAACCACTCTACTTAATAAACGGCCGAATCACACAAAAAGACAAGTGGCAGCCAGTCGTATGGCTCGGTGGAGTCTTGGTTACAGCGGCATATCCCAGCAAGGTCGTACGTCACTGGGTAGACCTGGCGTCGGCAGCAATCGACGATCAGCAACTGCCGCAATCAGTAACTACAACAGCCAGCGCAGGCCCATCTACCTACACCCATCCCGTATTGGCATGGGAACGCCGGAACGCTACAGCCGTGGTACTACCTGCCGACGGTACACACAAAGACATGCGACTACAACCTAACCTGACGTTAGAAGTTAGTGTAGACCAACAGCCGGTAATCCCCCTCGTACTGCATCGAGGGGACAATACCGCCACGTATCCAGTCTGCGCGTCCGAATTAGCCGTACTACAGCAACTACCAGGTTTCCAGGACTTCTTCGCGGACCAGGACTTCGCGACGACGGAGAGTCGACAACAATACGTCACAGAAGAACAGTGGACGCTCCACTGCGACGTAAAGACGACAACACACGGACGCACCACCTTCGTGACGGACATCTGCCCCATCTGAACGACTTCAATCACGCCTTCCCGCGGCGCAAAACCGGGCGTGCTATCCCAGCACGACAAGCCATCTCTAGGCATGCCCAGTACCGGGTAGCAGGTTCGAATCCTGCGATGGTTTTCACACACGACCTAAATCACAACTAAACAAACACGACAAACCATCCCTACCCACGCCCCGTCCCTGGCTGTACGACAGGTTCGACTCCTACGTATTGCTGCAACTCCTTTCTTCCGTATGCTGGACAGCAGGTTCGACTCCTACATATTTCTTTCGTATGCTGGACAGCAGGTCCGACTCCTACGTTTTACTTCAACTCCTTTGGCTGGACAGCAGGTTCGACTCCTATATATATAATATAGACCTATAAAACTATAAAACTATATCCCTATAGAACTATACAACTATACAACTATATGCCTATAAAATTTTAGAACTATAGAACTATAGAACTATAGAACTATAGAACTATAGAACTATAGAACTATAGAACTATAGAACTATAGAACTATACAACTATACAACTATAGAACTATAGAACTATAGAACTATAGAACTATAGACCTATAAAATTACAAAACTACACAACTATATAACTACAAAAGGGGTGTGCTACCCATCTTCCCGTCAAGGGGAACTATACTTCCAGGTATATGCCAAGCATGCGCCATTTGCAAGCATATGCGATTTGCAAGCATATGCAATCTGCAAGCAGATGCGATCTGCAAACATATGCAAGGATATTGCATATGCAAGCATTTGCAATACGCAAGCATTTGCAATCCGGATGCACCCGAACGTCCGGATGCACCCGAACGTATCTGGACTCGGACCCGGACGAGAGCTACGGCCCCCTCGGGACCGCAGGGACCGCGCCTCGTCGCCGTAGCTCATATGTTATGAGCGGAGGCCTATGCCGAGTTCGCTGTTCGCTGTCCGTCCGCTGTCCGTCTGCTGTCCGGTTGTCTGTCTGGAGCGTTTTGGAAATTCCGGGCCGGGAGCTTGCCGTACGCGCTTAAGACAGCGCCGAAAAGAACGGAAGGTCGCCGGTTCGATCCGGAGCAAAATTATGTTTTATGTTTCATATATGCATATATGCATATGTGCGATATGTAATATGCGATATGCAGCGATATGCGATATGCAATGATATGCGATATATGTATGCAACGATATGCTATGCGATATGCAGCGATGTGCGATATGCCATATGTATGCAGCGATATGCGATATGTATGCAGCGATAAGCGATATGTATGCAGCGATATGCGATATGTATGTGTATGCAGCGATATGCGATATGTATGCAGCGATATGCAATATGCAGCGATATGTGATATGCAGCGATATGCGATATGCAGCGATATGTGATATGCTGCGATATGCTGTGATATGCGATATGCGATATGCGATATGCAATATGCAATATGCAATATGCAATATGCAAGGTGCAATATGTTTTAATGTTATATATATGCGATCTCATATGCAAGCTTATGAGACCTGCAAGCATATGCGATCTCATATGCAAGCATATGCGATCTGCAAGCATATGCGATCTGCAAGCATATGCAACCTGCAAGCATATGCCATATGCGATCTGCAAGCATATGCCATATGCGATCTGCAAGCATATGCCATATGCGATCTGCAAGCATATGGCATGCTATGCTGTGCTATGCTGTGCTATGCTATGCTATGCTATGCTATGCTATGCTATGCTATGCTATGCTATGCTATGCTATGCTATGCTATGCTATGCTATGCTATGCTATGCTATGCTATGCTATGCTATGCTATGCTATGCTATGCTATGCTATGCTATGCTGCGCTATGCTATGCTATGCTATGCTATCTGCAAGCATATGCAGTATGCAAGCATGTGTGATCTGCAAGCATATGCGATGTGCAAGCATATGCGATCTGCAAGCATATGCAATGTGCAAGCATATGCGCTCTGCAAGCATATGTGATCTGCAAGCGTATGCGATGTGCAAGCATATGCGATGTGCAAGCATATGCGCTCTGCAAGCATATGGGATGTGCAAGCGTATGCGATCTGCAAGCATATGTGATCTGCAAGCATATGCGATCTGCAAGCATATGCGATGTGCAAGCATATGCGCTCTGCAAGCATATGTGATCTGCAAGCATATGCAATGTGCAAGCATATGCGCTCTGCAAGCATATGGGATGTGCAAGCGTATGCGATCTGCAAGCATATGTGATGTGCAAGCATATGCGATGTGCAAGCATATGTGCTCTGCAAGCATATGTGATCCGCAAGCATATGCGATCTGCAAGCATATGCGATGTGCAAGCATATGCGCTCAGTAACAAAAACAAGAAAGCATGAAAACATGGAAACGTGAAAACCATCGCAGGACTCGAACCTGCTGTCCAGCAAGTGCTATGCTATGCTATGCTATGCTATGCTATGCTATACTATGTTATGCTGCGCTACACTACGCTATGCTATGCTATGCTATGCTATGCTATGCTATGCTATGCTATGCTATGCTATGCTATGCTATGCTATGCTATGCTATGCTATGCTATGCTATGCTATGCTATGCTATGCTATGCTATGCTATGCTATGCTGCGCTATGCTATGCTATGCTATCTGCAAGCATATGCAGTATGCTTGCATGTGTAATCTGCAAGCATATGCGATGTGCAAGCATATGCGATCTGCAAGCATATGCAATGTGCAAGCATATGCGCTCTGCAAGCATATGTGATCTGCAAGCGTATGCGATGTGCAAGCATATGCGATGTGCAAGCATATGCACTCTGCAAGCATATGGGATGTGCAAGCGTATGCGATCTGCAAACATATGTGATCTGCAAGCATATGCGATCTGCAAGCATATGCGATGTGCAAGCATATGCGCTCTGCAAGCATATGCTGCATATGCGATGTGCAAGCATATGCAATCTGCAAGCATATGCGCTCTGCAAGCATATGGGATGTGCAAACGTATGCGATCTGCAAGCATATGCGATCTGCAAGCATATGCAATGTGCAAGCATATGTGCTCTGCAAGCATATGTGATCCGCAAGCATATGTGATCCGCAAGCATATGCGATCTGCAAGCATATGCGGTATGCAAGCAATGCAGTCTGCAAACATATGCGATCTGCAAGCAAATGCCATCTGCAAGCATATGCGATGTGCAAGCATATGCGATCTGCAAGCATTTGGGATGTGCAAGCATATGCGATGTGCAAGCATATGCGATCTGCAAGCATATGCGATCTGCAAGCATATGCGATCTGCAAGTGTATGCGCTCTGCAAGCATATGGGATGTGCAAGCGTATGCGATCTGCAAGCATATGCGATGTGCAAGCATATGCGCTCTGCAATCAGATGCGCTCTGCAATCAGATGCGATCTGCAAGCATATTATGCGATGTGCAAGCATATTATGCGATGTGCAAGCATATGCGATGTGCAAGCATATGCAGACCGGACCCGAACGAGAGCTACGGCCCCCTCGGGACCGCAGGGACCGCGCCTCGTTCGCTGTCCGGTTGTAGTCGTAGTCCCGACGTTAGACGGACGACGTTTAGTCGTTCCGTCGTCGGGACGGAGACCTTACCCCAACTTTCTGTCTGTCCGTCCGTCCGTCCGGGTGGCCGCTTGCTGTTTTCGCGTTTTTTGGGGTGTCGTCCGCGGTTTCGGAGCCGCGCCTTTTAGGCTAGCTCCGTCGCCGCGTGGGAGCCGCGGTCGCCGGTTCGCGCCCCGCCGTCGCCGGTTTTTTCGTCTTCTTCCTTCGTTCGGTTCGGCGCCCCGCGCCGCACCGCACCACACCTGGCCCCGCGGAAGGCGCCCTGGAGCATGGCCGTTTCGTTCGTCGGGCCCGCTAGCTCCGATGTCTTGTGGGAGCCGCGGTCGCCGGTTCGACCCCGGCGCCGGCGCGTCGTTGTGTCCTTTTTTATGTTGCTTCGTCGCTCGGCGCCCGCACGCTTCTTTCTTATATTTTCTTATATTTTCGGACCGTGCACAGTGCAATGCGCGCCGCACCGAATTGACACGCAAGCGCACCGAGTTGTTGTTGATTGTTAATTGTAATTCGATACACAAGCGCGCCGAACCACGCAAATTAACATTTAACATGTACCCAGCCGTGCAATTGAACCTGCATTTTGGCGCGTGATTCCTTTAGAATACACCGAAACGCGCAATTAAACACGCAATTTGACGCACACACAGATATGCGCGTTAGCTATATTTGTCTTCACTTACAGTAGTGCGGCTGAGCGCTGAATCATACGAAAGCCGCCGGCTGTAAATTACGAAAGCCGGCGGCTGTATACTGGCTGGTGGTGCCGCCAATGCAAGCTGTGACTTAAGACGGCTTCCGTCAGTTATGGCAGACACACCGAATGATTTACCCCAGCGGCCCGGAACTCGCGGTCGCGAGCGCCTAGGTACACTTGCTGGCGGTTTTCATTTTAGAGGCACAAGTGCATCAAACACACCCCTCAGCGTGGATGCAGCTCGGATGCGGGATGCTCGTCTGGATCCGCGGCGCAGGGCTGCAGAGCAGCAGCGAGACACTGCTGCACGAGCTGCTGCTCGTGAAGACCCAGAGTACGGGGCTGCGGAGCAGCAACACCACCGAGACCCGGAGGGCTGGGCTGTGGGGCAGCACCACCACCAAGACCCGGAGCGCAGGGCTGCAGAACAGCAGCGTAACACCGCTGCACGAGCTGCTGCCCGTCAAGATCCGGAGCGCAGGGCTGCACAACAGCAGTGTAACACCGCTGCACGAGCTGCTGCCCGTCAAGATCCAGAGCAAGAGCGTGACACCGCTGCACACGCACAGGGCCGTGCTCAGGTGCATGCAATACAGCATCCACAAGCCAGCTTGCTTGAACGCTTGCGGAACCTCATGCGGTTTCCCTGTTTGCACGAGGGCCAGCACCCACGGCCGCCTGATTTTCTGGAGGCCATTCCGGAAGGGCGCGTGCAGGATTTGCCCGGCGGTGAACTCCCGGTGGATCGGCAGGTACCCTACGAAAAGCACTTGCATCTTGCAAGCAGGATGGCCGCCGTGTTGCGTCGACGCATGCCTTCGCGGGTGTGTGCCGTCTGCTCTGAACAGTGCTCGGAGGAACAGTCCACGCTCCGTGCCTGGCTGGACATTCCCAATGTGGACCTTTTGCGCGCCGACATCATGTGCACCGCCGCAGTGCCGCGTCATGCGCGTACCCTGGCTTGGCGGCGCATGCCCTGCACTGCCCAAGGTACCGCACCACCGCCGCCAGATCCGGTTCTGCCGGCTCGGTATCGTATCGGCAGATCCGAACGCGCGAGTAGTGCTGGCATCGGTGGTGACCCTGATCGAGCGGCATTCGTAGATGAAGATGCGTTAGCAGTTGACAGCGACGTTGGAGACAACGGGACTAATGAGCCAGGTGCTGCAGATGACGCGGCCACAATGCAGCTACCTCCGGAATTACAACCCCATCCACCGCGGGTGCAGCCGCGGCCTTGCGTCGATGACCCAATAAGTGTGGAGGTTCCGTTTTGCATGCGTCTTGATACAGAGTTGCCGAACCGGACCGTGTTCCGACACGATGATGCTCCGGATGAATTCACCATCTGCACCTCGTGCGAGAAGGCACTCGCAGGTAAGCAATTGTTCTGTCTCCTATACAGCCAGTCCCTCCGTCCATTGGATCATGCTGTTCAGCACCTTTGTTTCGTCCAGCCGTTTTCTCTGTGCGGCCGGTATGGCCTTCCCCTTCGGCTCTTCTTCTTCTTCTCGTTTAAACACCTTATCTTTCAATTGTGCCTGCCCGATACCCACCTCCCGCCGCTTTTGTTGCAGCACGCCGAATACCTGAAGCGGCTTTGGCACGACTCGATCCGGGTGACGTGCCATCTGTTAATCACCTGGGCGATCCCTTGCCTGCGCCCACGTTCGTGGAGAGTCAACTGCTAGGGCGGGGCCGTCTCATGCAGCAGCTCATGATTGTACATCTCGCGGGCCGCCCTCCCGAGGTATTGCCATGTGCCGTTCAATCTCATGGCATCGCGGTCGTAAACCCTGACCCCAATATGCTACGGGGCCAGTTGCCCGCGCGTGTTGCGGATTTGGCTGGCGCTTTCACGGTGGTTTGCGTGGATCAAGTCCGAGACCGGCAGGACTTGCTGGATCGTGTCCGCCGTGCACCAGGCCTGAAAGTGCGTGGCAACGTCGTCGTCGCCTGGGTGCGTTTCCTTCAACATAACGATGAAGATGAAGGTGCAGTGGATGAAGAAGCTATACAGGAGTATGAGCGTATGGGATGCATTGCACAAGTACCGGAAGCACTGCTGCGCTCCGCAATCGGTCCTACCGATCCGGAAGTTGCTGGTGTACTGCGAAGTACCTTCCTACACGACCGTACCGGTGCTGCTGGTGTACGGCAGCTGCATGAAACGTTGCAAGGAAACATCGTTGGTAATAACTTTGATGGCGGTGGCGTTTATGGTTCACCACTTGAGACAGGTGCGACTTTTCATAGCTGACGTAGGGCTGCATACTGCAT